GAAATCCATATAATTTTCACTTTCTGAAGGCTGGGCTCAGTATGGGCGGATTAGTTGCGCACTACTTTTTACTTTTAAAATTGATTCTCAAATCCACTCATCTTTAAGTACTTTTGTAGTTTTTTTTAATTTTTATTCTGGCCACAAAAAAGGTTTTTTTTTTCTTATATTGTATCAAGGAAGTCTAGTTTCTATTTTAGTTACAAAAAGATAGCATTGATCAGCTGCGTCAAACATGTTTATAGAATTAAATATGGACACATGAAATTAAATTACTACTTCTCGGGAAGAATCTTCTGTGTGATGCCATGAATAGAATTAAAATGAAAAAAGATTGTCACAAAGAATTAAGAAAAATAAAAATAAGTTTAATAATATAACATCATTTTATATCTTTATTTTGAACATAATAAAAATAAACCTGGGCAAAAAAAACATAATAAAAATGAACAAGATAAAATTTAGGAGACGTACTTTATTGAACTATCATTAATCATATTTTATTCAAATGCATTAACTAATTAAATATCTATGATACATTCCCTTCATCATTCATTTTTATTTATTTATTTATTTCCAGCTACAATCACACTGCACGAGCCCGTCGCGTCTTTGTACAATTGCGGCAATTAGCAGTTCTCATAGAAGGCAGGCCAATTGAGAGTGGATATATCTGGACAAGTTTTCCATGACACTTTAAATTTGTGTCTGTGTCTTATTTTTGAAGAACTTTTGTGTTTTTGCGTTTTCATTGCATTGAAAATGGCCAAACCTTACTTAAATAGTCCTAAACTTATAACAAAGGCTTAAAGTTTAAGCCTGTTGTCATAAATCTGAGCAAACCTAAAATAAACATTTAAAAAATAGGCTTTGAAGAGCTTTCACTATATTTCAAGCTTATTAAAATTATTAACAAAGTTCAATCATTCAATCAGAAAAATATAAATTAAAATATAATAATATAAATTAAATGCGTTTAATATATAAATACAATACAATATATATATAATTAAATAAAAAGGCTTAAATAGGCCAAAATAATACTCCCTCCATTTAAAAATTTAAAATATTTTTTGAGGAGTTGAATGTTAAAAAATGTAATGCATTTTTTATTCTTTGAGACGTAATCATTGCCTTTTTTTTAAAGTGCTCTTATTGATAATTAACTTTATATTTATTGTAGGATGTTTAATGGAAGTAAATATAAAAAGATATAGTTAGTTTGAAATATGTAACTTTTTTATTAGAGATGAAATTCGATTAAAAATATCTTATATTTTTTAATGGAAGGAATTTTAGTTAGAAATATTACAATAAATATTTATAACAAAGGCTTAAAGTTTAAGCCTGTCATAAATCTGAGCAAACCTAAAATAGGCATTTAAAAAGGTTTAAAAAATAGGCTTTGAAAAGCTTTCACTAAATTTCAAGCTTATTTAAATTATTAATAAGTTCAATCATTCAACTAAAAAAATATTAATTAATATATAATAATAATAAATTAAATGCATTTAATACATAAATACATTACATTGTGTGTGTGTGTGAGATTAAATAAAAAGCTTAAATAGGCCGAGCATAAAAGGAAGGTTATGACGTTATGTAATGTGAAAACAAGTAAAAATAATAAAAAAAAATGCTATATCTTAACTCAAGATAAAATCAAACACATTACTTGATGGGGAGAGTATTGCAAAGATATTATATTTTAACTCAATTTTAGTGTTTGAGTTTATAAATCCTTCTTCTATATTTTATATTAATTGACATTAAATTGCCCAACTTGCCTGATGTGAGACTTTTTTTTTTTTTCCATGAAAATATCATACATCATTATTAAAAACATCCATTTTGTGATGGATTTTACCCTAATTTTGAGACGGAATTGTCGTTACAAATGTAGCTTGGGACGGAACCTTCCGTCACTATTTTGCTGGTCGTAAATTGTTTGCGATGGAATTTAAAATTCCGCTCATACCATGACAATATAATAACAATAAATATCTTCTTAATGAAACCAATAATAAATTTCTAAATTTTTAATAGAAAGTAGAACATTTATAAGTCACATGAAAGATAATTTATTCAGTACCTAAACACACACATGCTAACTTATAAGATGATTTCATTGATTTAATTGTTTTGGACAGCCTTTCAATTATGTATGCAACAACGATTTCTCTGAAACTTCAAGGTGTGATAATTGCAATCACCGAAAGCAAACAGGTCACAGAATAAAGTTTCTTATTTGGCAGCTTTGCTGACTGATGAACAAGTATTCCCATTTAATTGACATGTCAATAATATAAGACCTGTGCTATAATATTGTCTAATAATTACATGTTTTTATCCCTAAGCTTTTTTTTAATGAGCTACTCGTAAACTATGAGTGATATTTTTGTTATTTTTCTAGTTGATATGGAAAAAGCCATTTTGATATACGGTACACGCACACGTGATTTGATTGGAATTGAAAGGAGCATAGCTGAATATGTAAATATTTTTTTAATACTTTTAAACCATTTTAACCATATTACTGTAGTAAATAAGATAGAGAAAAAATATTAATTTTAATTTTATTTAAAAAGTTTTACTATTTTCTATATTTATCTTTAACTTATTACTCTTATTAAATATTAAGAAGAAAAATTATTAAACATAATTGTTCTTATCCCTATTAGAGGATAAATTTAAAAATTCATTAAATTTTAAAATAAAGTTAATAAAATTTAAATTTTTTAATAAAATATGTTAAAAATAATTTGTAAATAAAATATGAAAAAATATAACTTACTTTTCTATGCACACGCGTCTGTCAGTTGATAAGAATTGAAAGGAGTAGTGTGGATAATAATGAAAATTACAATTCAGTATACATATAATCCCAAATTTACTACCTCATTTATTACCTACCGCCGTTTCGTTTCATGCATGGAAGTGGGAGAATGACAATTAAATTTAAAATAATTTTTTAAAAAAATTAGTTACAAATTAAATTAATTTTCAATTAAAAAGTTTACAAATTCAAGATTTCAATTGCAATTTCAGATAAAAGACATTAAAGTTTCAAATGTAGAATTTAGTTTATATTTAAGATTATTTTTTATTATTATTTAAATTAATATTTATAATTTATTTTTTAATTTTTTTGTGAATGTGGTTAATTTTACTTCCCCTGTCAAAAAATATAATATATTTTTTTGAGGGTTGGATATTAAAAAATATAAGGCATTTTAAATCTTTTTAATTATTAAAAATTGCCTTTTTAAAAAAGTATTCTTATTAAATAAATATTTTATATTTCCTTCATTAAAATGTAAGACATTTTTAATCAAATATCACCCCAATAGAGTAGTACTTACTTTCAACTAACCTTATCTTTCCATATAATTACTCCTATTAAACACCATACAATAATATAAAGTCATTATTAATAGGGACACTTAAAAAAAAGACAATGATTACACCTCAAAAATAAAAAATGCCTTATATTTTTAAACATATAACTCCTCAAAAAATACCTTACATTTTTAAACGAATGGAGTATTTCTTTTAGGTGAAACATTCTATTAAATAGGAGTAAATATAAAAAATAAAATTAATTAAAAATAAGTAATTATTTTATTATAAATAAATTTAATTAAAAATATTTTGTATTTTTGAGCCGTGCGAGTATGTATTAGAACCTAACTGATCTCTCTTTATTTAGACTTAAATACTCAAATTATTTATTTTTTTAAATTAAAACATATATATTCTTTATATATTATTTATTTCAAGACAATATTTTATTATTAACATTATTAATATATTAAAATGTATTTATTTTAATTTAATTGAATAAAAATGTACATAATTCGTTTTTAAACATTATAATTAAATGTGCGTATTTTACTCGGGTCTGCTCAAAGTATCTGGCCGTGCACGACAGATGATTTCGGTGCCTTTTCTTTTCCCATTTATCTTCACAGCTGTTTACAACTATTTCCTGCATTCCATAGTATTCTAGTGTAGTACATATTTTTGCCGTTGATATATGAATTTTTGTGTATTATTATTCCATATTTTATTATTAATATTATTATCATATCAAAATTTACTTATTTTAATTTAATTAAATAAAAATATATTAATATATAAAAATAGGTACATAATTTTTTTAAAAAAGTTGTAATTAAATGAGTGTATCATTGTTCTAGTACAGTACAGTATTTTTACGGATGATATATGAATTTTGTGAGAATATATTTTTAATTCTTTAATTTTATATAAAGTTTTTATTCAATTATTTAATTTTAAAATATTTTTTTAATTCTTTAATCCTAATATTGTTAGATTTAAATGATTATTTTTTGTATCAATTATTGTCATTTTTTAAAAAATTAAATTTAATATGTTGATATTTGAACATTTTCGTAGATATTTAAAAATTTAATGTAAAAATTTATTGAAATAAAAAACATCTTATAAAGTTAAGAGATTAAAATGAGATGTGTAAAGTTAAATAATTAAATGTATATTTTTTATTATTTATTTCATAACAAAATTTTATTATTACTATTATTATCACATTAAAATTTATTTATTTTAATTTAATTAAATAAAAATATATTAATATAAAAAACAAGTACATAATTTTTTTTTAAAAATGTAATTAAATGCGTGTATTTTACGCGTGGGTCTGCTGAGGCCGCGCATGACAGATGATTGTACCTTTTCTCTTCCCATTCATCTTTACAGCTGTTTCCTATGTTCCTCACTTCCAAGAATTTTCATGCAAAGTGAAATCATAGCTACAGGCTAGCTATTTTTATTTACATAGCAACCTATCTAGCAGTGGTTCGGGGGAAAAAAAAACTGTCTAGCTAAAAAAAAAAAATCTACCATTAAATTTGCTCTCGATATTCCAGAAAAGAATGAACTCTAGTGTAGTATATTTCTTATGCCTAATAAAAAAAGGAACTCAACTTTGTAGTATAATTCTTTAGAAAATTCAAACATGGTAGCTACTAAATTTCCAGTCTCCACCCAATTAATAGTACGTTGCAATTAATTCCCACTTGTTAGTATGATTGATCAACATGTCTTGACCTTATACGGATTCGTTTTTACAGCCCTTGTGCTTCGTTATTTCTGAGAACATTCTTGGAAATGATTCATACTCTATATAATCAATTAGTGTTTCGTTACTTTTCTAACAGCCCTTCATTATTCTCTGCCTTCCATTTTCATCCTTTCCAGACGATACGATCCAGACGCTGAAAAGCAAATCCACCCTCCTCCTTTCTTCCTCTTAGCTGCTTCGCTTCGAGCTTCTTCAGACTTCACTGTAAGCCTATTCATTCAGATCTTTATCATTTCCTTCTTCCAAAGGGTCACTTAAACATTATTGTTTTCTGTTTCCAGCACACAAGCTAGACATCATGACAGGACGAGCATTAACCTCTTCTTCCTTCCAATATCATTTCGCGCATGATGTCTTTCTCAATTTTAGAGGTGAAGATACTCGTCATGGTTTCACTGGAAGTCTATATCATGCTCTAGCTCAAAGGGAGTTCACACCTTTTTCGATGATGAGGAAATAAGAAAAGGCGATGAAATTGCTCCAAGACTTGACAGAGCAATTGAAGAATCTAGGATGGCCATTTGCGTGTTTTCTAAGGGCTATGCTTCCTCAACATTTTGCCTCAACGAACTCGTTAAGATCCATCAGTGTATTAAGGAAAATGGACGACTAGTTTGGCCCATCTTTTATCATGTGGATCCTTCTGAAGTACGACATCAAAAAGGAAATTACGAACAAGCATTGACTATGCATAAACAGAATTTAAAGGCTAATGAAGAGAAGGTGCAAAGTTGGAAGCTTGCATTGCGTGAAGTAGCTAATATTTCTGGCACACATCTCACTCCTGGGTAATTCTCACAACTGATATTCCTATTTTTCTTCTTCTTCTTCTTTTTTTTTTTCTTGATACAAAAAGAGCAGCAAAGTAGCTGCTTATGCCAATAGAGTCATGCTACAGTAAATTACGAGATTCAGGGGAATCACTAACAAGATGAAATCCAGGCCACGTGTAGAGAGCTTTTTGGGCTAGTCTAGCTAGCTAGCTTTATTACAATTTTTTTTTTTTGCATATGAAGCAAGAACTTAATTAGATTTGACATAGATTTTTGTACTTTCCAGGCATGGTTATGAATATGAAATCATTGAAGGTATTGTGAAAGAAATATCTCGCATAATCAATAGGGCTCCTTTACATGTCGCTGAATATCCAGTTGGATTAGATACTCGTTTGCAAAAAGTAAACTCTCTATTGCAATTTGAGTCTCGTGATGAGGTCATTATGGTAGGAATTTACGGAATCGGGGGATCAGGTAAAACAACATTAGCACGGATTGTGTATAACTCAATAGCAGATAATTTTGCAGATTTGTGCTTTCTCTGTGATATCAAAGAAAATTCAAGGAAATTTGGGTTAGAAGGAATGCAAAAGAGAATGCTTTCAAAGATTTTAGGAGTGGACATAGAAATTGATGATGTTAATGAAGGAGTTGCAATAATTAAAGAGAGACTCAGACAAAAGAGAATTTTGTTGATTCTTGATAATGTTGATGAGCTAGAGCAATTACAAAAATTTGCTGGCCATAGTAGTTGGTTTGGTTCTGGGAGTAGGATCATTATAACAACAAGGGACAAACATTTACTCATGAGACATGGGGTTGAAAGCAAATATGAGATGGAGGCACTCACTGATAACGAATCTCTTCAATTATTAAGTTGGAATGCCTTCAATAGTACACAAGTTGATCCAAGTTACATAGAAGTTGTGGATCGTGTGATACACTATGCCCATGGTCTTCCATTGGCCCTTGAATTAATAGGCTCTCACTTGTTTGGTATGGGTATAAAGGAGTGGCAATCTGCTATAGATGTGTATGAGCGAATTCCTCATAAAGACATTCAACGAATACTACAAGTAAGCTATGATGGCTTAACTGAAGCTGAAAAGGATATTTTTCTTGACATTGCTTGTTTCTATAAAGGATGTTGGTTGGAAAAAGTCATAGATATGGTGAAATATGCTCATGGTTTTGATCCACATCATGGTATTCAAGTATTGACAGACAAATGCCTCATAAAAAATGAATATGATCGTGTTGATATCCATGACTTGATACAAGATATGGGAAGAGAAATTGTTCGTCAAGAATCACGACAGGAGCCTGGAAAACGTAGTAGATTATGGTCCCATGAAGATATCATGCATGTTTTGGAAGAAAATACAGTAAGTAAAACTAATCTAAATGATATACATTGGGATTTTGATTTTTGTTTCCACTATTTCTTGATGACAACGTTACTGATGAGCTTTTGCATTTTTTTTTGTTCCTTATGTGAAATTATTAACTCATCCTCTTGATTAAAAATTGTTCAATCAAATGTAATGTTTTCTGAAAACAAGAAAAAAATTAAAAAACAATTTTCAGACGTTTTTATTTATTTGTTCTTTAAAAAATAAAAATAAGAACAATTTTAAAAAAATTAAATCCAAAATACTTATTCAAACGATTTTTTTTATTTTTAGAAACAAAAATAATTTTTGAAAACTGAAACTAAACAAGCCTCTACTTTCTTTTCTTTTCTAGCCAAAGATAAGGTTTACTGTTATTTTCTTCATGTTACCTATTATGCTTTTAACTTTGGAAGTGCATGCTTATAGTTTGAATGAATGATTAAGACAAATATAATGATGATGCTAAATGGAATGGTCTTCGAGAAAACTTATAAAGGAATAAAACTTTATAACTAGTAACACTGACAGGACCTATTTTTTGATGTTTAATTTGTTCCTCTATTTGAAATGTCACACTTGTTTTGATTTCAATTAGGAAAATATTTTTCTTTGTTTTGCAATATGTCACAATAGTTGTATTCATTTAACAGTAAGATTTTTATTGGCTTGATTAGGTAAAAAAATCGTAAACTTGAAATCATAATTAAAGAATGCGTCCTAAAACAGAGAGCTAAATACAACAAATGGTCTTTGTTAAAATTAGAAAAATACCAAAAAAAAAGGAGAAGAAGCTAAAAGTCAAATATCTAATAATGAATGGCTTTTGATTTATATAAATTTTGGTTTTGTTTTGTAACAGTATGAAAATTTTGATTAGGACTTCATTATTATTTTCCTCTTTGTTTATTGATTTTGTTTTCCACTGCTTCATGATTTTGAGGAACTGCGAGTAACAATAATTGGGATATGGTTTTTCTTTTCTTCATAATCTTATTGTTCCTTGCATAATTTCTTTAATTTTGGTGGCATCAATATTTATGAGATTAATTTTCCCCCTCATAAGTTGTTCCTGTTTTAGAGAATAACACATTAAATATATATTATATAGATAGATAAACTTTCCCCCCTGTTTTTGCCTTATAATTTTATTGTTCTTTTCACCATTTTTTTTGAAGGAATCACTGTTCATGAAATTTACATTTATTTTCCTTATTTTCTATTAAGCCGTTAACTTACGCCATATATTTCCATGAATTGCATGAGTATTATTTCTTTTCGACTTTTAGTTTCTGGTCTTGGTCCTCTCACACTGTTATTGTACTTTAATCTTTTTACTTTAATACAATATTTTTTCAAAAAAATTGAAATCAAGACTATGTTGGATGAAATGGTTTTTGAGATTTTTTTTTTAAAGTACCATGTCAACAAAGATTTACTTGATCAATGAATAACATTATGTCGTGTTTTTAACCACGTGTTTTTAATTTCTATTAAGAAGATAATCCTTCCTCCGAAGGATAATGACATTAAAGTCTCAAAACAATAAATTTTTGATACCTAGGTCCTAAACAAGTATTTTTGTAAAATTAAATGTAAATATGTATTTAGACAGTTATAAATTCAAGAGTTTTAATTATTAACAAGATATTTAAATTTCAAATATAACTTTCAATTTGGAATTAGGATTTCTATTTACAACTATTTGAATAAATATCTACAACTTATTTTTCAGAAAATTTTGTGAGAGACCTAACTGTTTTAAATTATCTATTTTGAGACTTTATATTGTCACTCTCCCTTTCCTGTCTATTGTTTTATCGGACTAAAATCAAAATCTGATGAAATCATAGGAACTAATGATTGTATTTTTCCTTAATGTTATCAGCAGTCATTTAACGATTGATTTATGTTGGCTTAGAAATGAATATATAAAATTGAAATTATATTAAAGAATTCATAAAAAAGAAAAGACAAGTGTGTAGCTAACGATGTATGATTTTTATTATTTGCCATGTTTAGGATGTCGCTGATAATTTGTTAGGACAATTTTTTATTCCCTATTCTAATTTTATCATCTATTTATTTGCTTTGCTTGAAGGGGACAAATAACGTTAGGATCATAGCTTCAGAAAATGTTTCCCAATATAAAGAAGTGAGTTGGGACGGAAAAGCCTTGGAGAAAATGAAAAATCTCAAAATTCTTAGTTTAAAGAATTTAAAGTTTTCAGAAGGCCCCAAATATCTGCCTGACAGTTTAAAAGTGCTAGAATGGGGAGAATATCCTTCATCATCTCTGCCACACAACTTTCATGCAAGGGAACTTTTTGTAATGAATGTGCCACATAGTCTTTTAAAGTCAGTGGAATTTAAGGTAAGGACCTCATCTTATGTGTATTTATTTGGATATAAGTAGCCCTTTATTTGATGATTGTTGATTTCTTTAATTAGACAATTTTTTATGGTTTTATCTTCTGCAGACGGCCTTGAATCTAAGTGTTTTGAATCTTCAAGGATGCCAAAATATTACACAAATACCTGATTTATCTGGCATCTCAAATTTAAAGGAATTAAATCTTTGGGGATGCATGAATTTAATTGCCATTGATGATTCGGTTGGAGAATTAGAAAGACTTGAAATCTTGGATGTGTATGGATGTGCCAAACTTGAAACCATTCCCCGTTGTACCAAGTCACTATATCTTAAATTCCTTGATCTTGGGAATTGCTCAAGCTTGAAGTACTTTCCAGAAATACTACCAAAAGCGCCACTAATAGAAGTGACTATGCGGGGTAGTGGGATAGAAAAACTGCCTGCATGCATAAAAGAATGCACGTCTTTGGAGGAACTTTGGCTACAAGAGTGCGAGCATCTGCAAGAAGTGGAAGGGATTCCACCAAACCTGAAAGTGTTGTACGCAAACGATTGCATATCGTTGAGTTAGAGTCGAGAAACTTATTGTTGAGTAAGGTCATTAATTTTTCTATCTTTGGAATTTCTTTTTTTATATTTACACATCCATTAATTATTTATGAGACTCTCCTATACTCTCTCTCTCTCTCTCTCTCTCTCTCTCACACACACATTTCTTTTGTTTAACCGAAGTAATTGGGGCTGGAATAAGCAAAGATGGGGTTTATCGTGCCAAAGAAGTCGTCATGTCGGGATCAAGCATCCCAGAATAGTTGGATGTCTGTAAAAAAGGAGGATCTATTTCTTTTTGGTTTCGTTACTCCTTTCCACCTCTTTGTTTTTGTGCTCTTCTCAATGCAAGTTCTTATCTTCGTCATTTCAATTTTAAGATGAGCTTGAATGGAATGCCATTACCGTATCGCCGCGGCGCCATATTGAAAAAGAATTCCCGAAGTAAAGAGGACTATGTGTTTCTATGTGTACTGGAAGGGGTCCAACTTTATGAAGGAGACGTGAACTTAAAGATGGTGTGTGGAATTATGTGCAGATTTCAATGTGGGACTATTATCCGGATTGGCCTGGTATAAAGGAGAGTGGAATTTATATGATAAGAGAACATTGTAACATGGAAGATATCCGATTCACTATTCCCTTAAATTTGGATTCCCTGAATATTGATCAAGGTACGTATGCTATTTATAAATAGATTAATTGCATTAAAATTTTATGTTACTTGACTAAAGCACTTCATTTCTTTTTTCTAAGTGAACATTTAAAATTAAATCAAATATTCTGAAATGAAGGGAGTGCACTATGTGTAAGAAGTTTATATATATATATATATATATATTTATTTTATACCTTCAAAGTTGGGGAAAATTCACAGATTAAATTACTTTGTAAATTTCATTATATTATAGTTTGTCTCAATAATCGTCATTGTAGGTGATATATGAATTCTATTTAGTTACATTATATTACTCAAACATGTCAGTAGTCCATATTCTAACTACATGTGCATCTATTGTTTGAGGAAAGGTATGACAAGAGAAATCACACACGTCAATATTTATTCTTAAATAATAATTAAATTAAATAAATTTATTTAATCATTAAGAATAATTATAAAATGAATAGATTTGAATTAGATATGATGATGCTATCAGTTTTTAGGGTGGGAGAGGTGAGAAGGGCAATAGTAATTTTGTAATAATTTGTAATAATATTACATGTGTGTGTATATATATATATATATAGTATGTATATATCATCTCATTTTATTCTTGACCCCACAATGGGGGTCCAAAAAAATGAATTTAGAGTGGCTAAAGATGGCTTGGAAAGCCACCGGGAGCCATTCCACTCTCGTTTGAAAAATTTTCTCAAACAATGATATAAAACTTTTAGTTATTTTGTTCCATTCCATTTCATAAAAAAAAAATTCACAAACAAGGCTAAATTACAAATTGAGAGTCGAAGTTACAAATTCTTGTAAATATTCAAATAATACTGATATATTATTTTTCAAATTTAAAAATTAAGATTTGTGTGCCCTATTAAAATTAGGAAAGAGAGTTGCACATGCAAGAAAAAAAATTGCAAATTTGTCTCCCAATTTGATATTTTGTAACTTTATCTCCCAAGTTTACAATTTTCTCATGTTGAATTTGTAATGTATTTTCCTCATTTTAATATGGAACATAAAATCTTAAGGATTAAATTTGAAAATAATCATGACGTCATTTGAATACTTCTAAGAATTTGCGACTTTGTCTTCCAAATTTATAATTTCATCGTCTTAGATTTGCAGATCACATTTTTTGATTTTAATAGACAACACAAATCTTAATGATTAAATTTTAAAAGTAACTTGTTATTATTTGAACACTTATAGAGATTTGCAACTTTGTTTTTGTGTTATTGAATTTGTAACTCATTTTCTTAATCTTAAAATTGAAAACAAATTACATTATATATGAAAATACCAATTAAGGATTTAAGGGGTTTACTTTAAACTCTAAAATTTGTTGGGACTTTAATAAAATAATCCCTTTGACACTTATATGTCATTCCCCTTAGATATGCATAACCGTATCAACTGGAACTAAAACTAAATAAAATTACAACAAAATCATTTAATATCCCCCCTTACTCACATATAACATTAAACAAAGTTCTTGGACTTAAAACTCAACTTTGTTTTTATACTTATTGTTAAAACAGAGGAAGCATCAGTGATGAGAATAGAATGGATAACCTTAAAGAGAACACCTATAGAGTTTATTGAATAAGATCTCTTAGTTAATAATATTTCTAAAAGCTTGGTTAATAATAGAGTTTAACAATGTCGTGTAATCCATGTACATAACTAAAACACACCTGATAGAATAAGATTTGTTATTGTTGTTGTATTAAAACTCAATTTATGTGTTTCGATGAATAAAAAAAAACTCAATTTATTGTCATAGTGCAAACAATACAATATCCATATGGATACAGACTTAATTATGCTTTATTGTACCCTTGCATGTTTAAAGATCTATCTTACCTTGAATTGCAATGTTTTTTTTTTTTTTTGGTATATGAATGCGGAACTTCATTCAAAAGTGAATAAAGTACATCAATGCCTCATAATGATAGGGTATGATTGTAATTGTATTAAAATGCAGGCTCATAAAATAATAAAACTTGGGATGCATTGGTATTGATTTATTGTTGTGTTCAGGCTCCAATTTGTACATTTTCATTCCTTGTCACCTGAGTTTTACAAAAACAAAATCTTTATATCTTTATAAATAGATTTGGTTGCACATATAGGAGCCTTACTTGAGATTATTTATACAAAAATATATTTTAAATCTAAACTTAAATCTGACCCAATCAAGTAGTTAAATAAAAAAGTTATTTTTTGTAAGTTTAGTCTCATACTTTTTCTTTGTATATTTATATATTTTAATATAATACTGATTGAAGGTTTTATTCAATAAATTGCAAATTGATAAATCTAGACATTGATCACTACAATAGCACAAAACATGTTAGAAGAGAAGGGAGGGAGAGTAGGGGTGGGAATAGCCTAGGTCATGTCAAGCTTTGACTAAACATGCTTGAGCATGTGACATAGGTCTCATGCCTGAGCCTCGGCCTGAGTTTGTGATAACCTTGGATAGGTCTGAAGCTTTTTTAAAGGGCTACTTCATATGTAAGCCTTTTAAAAAAGCTTTGGATTTAAGCCTTAAAGGATTTGAGCCTACCCAAGCCACTACATTTTTATGTAAGCTTTAAAGCTCATATATTTTAGATTGAAATAGGCTTAAAGGCTTAAAACCTATTTAAAGCCTACATATAATTAAAATAAAATTAAAAATTATAATAAATCTAAATAAACACATATTTTAAAGACTTACACCTAAAATTTAGCAACAATTCAATGCAACTAAAATGAAATTAACCAACAATAATAAGTGAGCAACAATACAACCCAACAAATAAAGGACAATAGCACTAATCAAAACTTCAATATAATCTCCTCTTATTCGGATGGCTCCTACACAATAAAATAATAAATTAAAAATAAATAACTAGCTCAGCAAAAGTTCAATCAACAATGCAACAAGTATCAAATGAAATAAATTTTTACCTTTTGTTTTCTCTTCAACCCATATTTGTGGCAAAACCAATCCCCACCACAAATAAGAACTTCAATAGATTCATCATTCAATCTACCATGATATTAATCAATCACCCTTCCCCTAGCATTAAATGTGAATTTTGATGCCATAGTTGAGATAGGGATAACTAATATATTAACTGCCATATTTGATAAAACTTTAAACTTTACATTATTGTTCTTCCACCACTCCAAGGCACAAAAATATGAAGAATTAGGAGTTGGAATATAAGGATTATGCATAATTGGGCCAAGTTTGTAGTAGATTTAACCAATGCTTAGTAAAAAAGACCACCGATGGATGATGACAATTTTGCCTCAGTAAGCTCATATTTATTTACGCACACTCATAATTGATTTTTCTTATCATCACTTTCATATTGTTCCTATTGGTAATCATGTTCCTATTAGGTCTACTGTGACCATGAGATTTAACTATGATCTCATTAAGCTCTTTTTGAATCTATTACAATCCTTAGGATCTAACTGCTATAATCCTTTTCTAGGAGACTTAAGACATAAAGATAAGTTGTCAAATAATTTTGCCTCTTTTTAGTCAGGAAACTATACTGATTATTCTCTAAGACTAATTTTTGATACTTTTGTTATCCTCCTAGGCCTTGTTTATTCTTTTTAGCCTATCCTAGACTCTCTTAAACTTTAGCTTTTTCATTCTTCAATTATGAACACTTTCTTGCGATTTTGTTCTGAAAAAAAAAATTTAAGCTACAATTTGGTCCCTAAGAAACTTTTTATCTTTTCAGGGGACCTCTAAGACTCATGACTACTTGGGTTTTGTAGCTTGCTAGATTCAGGCATATTATTGAGTTTCTAGGTCAAAATTTGAGATGTTAGAGAAGATCCCTGGGAGAAAATAAAACTAGAATTTAGTTGTACATATAACTGCATCATTAAACATAAATCTGTTCATTTGTAGCTTCTTTCCAAAAGAATTTGGTTTGGTTTAATTGTTGATTTTTTATTTTTTTTACAAACCAATATTGATGAAATTGTTTTAATTAATCTTTTGTGACATATGACACATTATGAAACTAGATAGCTGGAGTGGTTGTGACGATGATGCTTAATTTATATACATGTAATTTTTGAAAAATTTAACAGAGTATTAGTTATGCATACCTACACACATGCATTGACACCCACCTATACTGTTCAAGCTACATATATATATATATATTATTTATCCTTAGTGAACTTTAAAATGCACAAGGATCCATTTTTACCACAAGGAAATAGAAAAATATTTTGAAAAGATAAAGGAAAAGGAATGGAAATTAAATTAAGATTATCATTCATTTACAAGAAAAATAAATTATCATTATAATTTTAGTCATTTGTCCATATTATGTTGTATTGGATTTCAGTATAAGTAACATGTTTCATAGGAATAACTGCCATGTGAGAATTATCAATGGCCATCACATTCTTTCTTACAAAGTCAGTTACTCAAACAAAAAGAAAAAAAGAGTATGTGATATAAGAATTTGTTACACAAACTTGAAATCTTTATAATGTACACCATATGTCTTAACTAACTACTTTTCTTGTAGAATTTATGGAAGATTTTGCTAAAAATCTGGAAACAGAGTATAATTTGTCAACAAGTAGCTTCAGAGATTGGGTTGAATGTATGCAGGAAGAAAGCATCCCAGAATGGTTTCACAAGCGTACCAAAGGACAATCTGTTTCTTTTTGGTTTCGTAACAACTTCCCAACTCTCTGTGGTGGTGTTCTTCTTAATCTCGACTGTGATCTTTCGGATGAATTTTTAGTCTTCATAGGGGGAGAACTTCGGAGACATTATCACATATTGAAAATTGGTAATACAGCCTTTTATGGTATGAACAAGTTCTCCTTTTATAATGCGCATGGCAGGGAACAAGCAATTCAAGAAGGTGAGTGGAATTATGTAAATATCTATGTGGCAGATGCAAAAGAGAGCGGAATCTATGTAACCGAACAACAATATAACAAGGAAGATATCCGATTCACCGATCCTTATGTGGATGCCATGGCTGGTAACCAAGGTAATGCTTCTCTCCCCATATTTTTTTATTTTAATTTATATTAATATAATTTTTGAAAATTCAATGCAGTGATCATATATATATGTCCGTCAAGGTTTCTGTCTGTTTAGTGTTAAGCTTAAACAAAATGAGTGAGGATGTTAATTTTATTCATTTGCACTCTTGAGAAAAACACTATCTTTATTTTAGTCATTTATTCATTGTTCACCGTGTCTATTTTTGGGATCCATGGCCATTTTCCTTTGGAATAACAGTTAAAGTTAGTATCATCAACAATAAGTGAATTTTTAATTTACATCAAGTTTGTTATAGAAAAAATCATTTGATATATATATGTATATATAAGCCAGGATTTTTCTATATATATAAACTTATTTCTATCAATCTTCTTTGGATCGAAATCAAAATTATGATGTTCAAGTTGTATTTGAAATTACATAATGTTTTATCATCCATGACTTAACTACCATTTTTATTTGTAGATGATACAAATTTCATTTTGTTGGAATATTCTTGACAAGTTGTGTGTATTCTTTTTATATTCCGTAAAAGAGGATCCTGATATTTCTTTTAAAAAGTGAATTTCCCGTAAATCAATTTCATGTTTATTCTTTGTGTGTGTGTACATTTATTTATTTACTTTCGTACATCAAGAAAAATTGAGCCTTCATTCAAAAGTGAACCTACACCCCCCTCACCTTCATTCAATTTCATGCAATTGTTTTGGGTATCAATAGGGGAACTTCATTCAAAAGTAAACGAAGTACATTAGTGCTTCATAATGATAAAGGTATGATTGTAATTATATTAAATGCAGACTAATAACATAATAAAATTGGGATGCATTAGTGTGGGTAGTATAATTGTTGTTTTATTGTTAATTACTAATTAGGCTCCAATCTGTGGATTTTCATTTCTCGTCACTTGAGTATTACAAAAACAAAATCGTTCGTACCTTTACAAATAGATTTTAGATGCATATATAGGTGCATCACTTGAGATAATTTACACAAAAACAAATTTTAGGTCCAAATATTGGTTCTTGCAGTTTCTTTTTTTAAGTTCAATTGCCTTTTTTTCAGTTTGTTAGAAAACCAATACTGATGAAATTTTGTTTTAATTAATTCTATATTCCCACAGTGTTCTTTAATTTAACTGGATGTTTACTCTGTTGTGTTGCATGAAATAGTTGAAAATGTTATATTATTCAAGTGTGAGTAAATTTAAACTGATGAAGAAAGTGTCTAATTGAATAAAGCTGAATTTAATAACTAATGTATGATAAAATAAAAGTATTCATAAACTTGATTCTTGAGATTTTAAGTGTGTACTCCACTGTTCTTCACCCATTTATTCTCACCTTATTTTCTGTAGTGAAATAAAAATTAAGATCTTCAAATTGCATTTGAAATTATATAATGTTATAAAATCCATGGCTTAACTAACGTCGTTATTTGTATATGATACCAATTCCACTTTCTTCGAATATTCTTGACAAGTTGTGTGTGTTTCAGTTTATATTCTTTAAAAGTGGAATATGATATTTCTTTTGAAAGGTAAATTTCTGATAAATCAATTTCATGCTTATTCTTTGTATATTTATTTATTTTGCTACATCATTATCTCTTTCTCGCCATCTTCTCTCTGATAAAAGCCAATGCTTTAGTTTTAGCTTTGTCCTATATAAATTGCAACCCCAAGTACACTCCAGGATCCACCACTTCATTAATCCTCAACCATTCACAAACTTGTGGCTTCTTCATTTGGTACATTTGTATATAAAAAAAAACTAGATTTATCTAGGTTTGCCTATTGACCTAATGCACTACCATATACCTCAAAAATAGATCTCAACATTTCACAGTTTTTTTATTTGTCCTTAAAAAGAACAGAGAATCATTTGCAAAAAAAGAAAATAAGAAAAGAAAAGAAAACAGTAATATCATTTTTAACACATGATTCCTAAACATATTAGGCAATACCTCAACAGCAATTATGAACATTTAAGGAGACAAGGAGTCCCCTCGTCTTACTCCCCTACTAGGTGTAATATTTGCTAGTTTCTTACCAGACAGATTTATACTGTACTTCATTGATTCAATGCATCACATAATTCACTTGATCCCCACTTCAGCAAATCCCATTTTGAAAAGAACTTCTCTCAAAAAATCCCATTTAACCCTATGTTATGCCTTGCTCATATCCTATAGATCCACACCTTCCTCCAAATACTTCCTGAGAACTTCAAACAACATATTAATTACCCACTTCCTCCGAGGAAAATTGATAAAATTGACCTATACTTTTAAAGCTATATATATATATATATATATATAGATTATTTATCCTTAGTGATGAACTTTAAAATGCACAAGGATCCATTTTTTCCTCAAAGAAATAGAAAAATATTTTGAAAAGATAAAGGAAAAGGGATGGAAATTAAATTAAGATTCTTATTCATTTACAAGAAAAATAAACTATCATTATAATTTTAGTCATTTGTCCATATTATGTCTACTTGTATTGGATTTCAGCAAGTCAATTATGATTTGAGTAACATGTTTCATAGGAATAACTGCCATGTGAGAATTATCAACCACCATCACATTCTTTCTCATGAAGTCTGTTACGCAAAAAAAAAAAAAAAAAAGTGATATAAGAGTTTGTTACAGAAACTTGAAATCTTGACAATGTAGACCATGTGTCTTAACTAACTACTTTTCTTGTAGAATGTATGGAACGTTTGGCTGAACATCTGGAAACGGTGTTTAATTTGTCAAAAAGGAGCTCCAGAGATTGGGTTGAATGTATGCGGGAAGAAAGCATCCCAGAATGGTTTCACAAGCGTACCAAAGGACCATCTATTTCTTTTTGGTTTCGTAACAACTTCCCAACTCTCTGTGGTGGTGCTCTTCTTAATCCCGACTATAATCTTCAGCACCAACTTACAGTCTTCATAAATAAAGAAAAATTTTGGAATGGATATGGTTCCTTCTTGAGAGTTGGTTCCTTATTGAAAGTTGGTAACACAGCTGTGTATGGTCTAAAATTGGCCTCCTTTGATGAGATAAAAATGGGACGAGCATTTCGAGAAGGTGAGTGGAATTATGTACAGATCAATTTGGTGGAAGCAAAACAGAGTGGAATTTGTGTCACTGAACTGCAATATAACAAGGAAGACATCCGATTCACCGATCCTTATATGGATGCCATGGTTGATAACCAAGGTAATGCTTTTCTCCCCATTCTTTTTTATTTAATTTAGATTAATATAATTTCTAAAAATTCAGTGGAGTGATCATATATTATGTCTGACAAGGTTTTTGTCTGTTTAGTGTTAAGCTTAAACAAAATGGGTGAGCATGTTAATTTTATTCATTCACACTCTTGAGAAAAACACTATCTTTATTTCAGCCATTTATCCATTGTGCATCATGTGTTTTTTGGGATCTATATCAATTCTGAATTATTAACATTTTCCTTTGGAATAACCAACTAAATTAGTACAGTCGACAATAATTGAAATTTTAACTTACACCAAGTTTGTTGTAGAAAAAATCATGTGATTTATATAAGCTAGGCTTTCTCTGTGTGTGTACGCGCGCGCGCGCTTGTGCGTGAGCGTGAGCTTATTTCTATCAATCTTCTTAGGAACGAAATCAAAATCATGATGGTCAAGTGGTATTTGAAATTACATAATGTTATATCATCCATGGCTTAGCTAACACCGCTATTTGTAGGTGATATGAATGCCCTTTTTTTGAAATATTTCCTGAAACAAGTGGTGTGTGGGTGTATTTTGTTTATATTTTTTTTTTTAAAGTGGAAGTCGATATTTCTGTTAAAAAGTGAATTTTCCGTATAAATCAATTTCATACTTACTCTTTGTATATTTATCTATTTTTTATTTTACTACATCAAGAAAATTTGAGCCTTTAATTTTACTGAGTTTAATCTCATATTTATCTTCTCTGTATATTTATCTATTTAATATTATACAGATTAAAGAATTTATTCAATAAATTGCAAATTGATAAATATACTCAATTCACTACAATAACTCAAAACATGTTATATGCAATTAACTGCACAGAAGAGGAAGGGAGAAATCAATATGGGGCAAGTTTGGAGGAGAATCGAACAATGCTTAATAAAAAAAGACCGCTGATAGAGGATGACAATTTTGCCTCAGTAAGCTCATATTTACACACAAACACAAATTGATTTGTCTTATTTCACTTCATATTGTTCCTATATATTGGTAACCACGTTTCAATTTTGGACATTTTACTTTCAGAGCTCAACTCACTTCAGAGGCACAAAAAGGAGAGGAAGTAGCTCAACAAATCAGGAGAAAAACAATGCAAACTTAATTGAAATCAATACTTCCAATGCTACCGAAACCATTGGCATTCGAGGTAACACATTAATTGTCATCCCAGCAAAGTGCAATTATTTACTTTATGGCATTAAAATAAATATATTATATTCATTAACATCACATAAATGCTTTTGAAAATAAAATCATAATGTTTCTTTAGAGTAGTTATTAAATGAATAATATATTTATTTTAATGTCATAATTAACAATCTTACATCATTAAATTAAATAAATAATTAAAACGAACGCATGTGATTGAATATGAAGACAGGGTATTGAGAAAGGGCACGAAGACAATCCAAATTCACTACACAAGGGAAGGATATAAATGTTTCATACAAAATTTCAATATAAAAAAAAATCTAGGATTTATCTAAAAAATCCCGATCCACCTCCCTCTTTTTCCCACTTTTTCTCATTTTCCCCAAAATATTTTTACATTCTACCAAACAAGATGTTATTTTGTTTTTGGATGTCAAATTTTCAACCACAGAAACATGTAATTTCATAAAGTCTTGATCAAATTCTAGAATGCCTTTGAGTGTACATGTGTGTATCCAAATTCATCTTTCATATTTTGAAAACAATAAAATTTAGTTCACTCATTTAACATAAACAGAACAAGAACACTCTGTTGGAAGTAAGAAGGACTTGTTTGGCAACACTCTACAGCTGCAGGTAATTAAACTCATTTGTTTTGAATTTTGAGACATTTATTATGTTTTTGGTGGACCAGTTTAAAAGACTTGTTGACTTTTCACAAATCTTGTGTAGAAAATTAAATACGAAAGCAAAATGCAAATAATAGATATTCAATCACCAAGTAGATCAAATGAAGAATTTCTTCATGCAAGGATGCCAGAAGAGAATGAGAAGGACAAGGGAATCAAGTGCCAGATGAATCCCATGCAACGTCTTTCTCTACTAACATATGCTGATAACTTCAATAGCATGACATTGTTGATTGATCCAGTGGTTTTGGGTAAGGATGACATGACTATCCTAGTTGAGCAAGAAGATTTGGAGAGGTTGCTGATGCGAAAGAGAGTTACCATACAGATGATGCATGTGTTCCTCATGTAAGTAATTTTTATAAATATCTGATCATTTCAACTCTTAGCATTGATGTGATTTCATTTTCATAGGTATCTTCATCGCCACTACACCTTATTGGATAAAAGCAAAAGATTTGGCTTCATTTGCCCGCTTCATATCCAAGATACTGGGAATGAAGAACAAACAAAGTTAGAGTATCTTCAGATTAGGTTGAGTAAAGGCAACCAAGAGTGCTACTTGGCACCATATGTTCACTCGTAAGAAACAAATTTAAATTATTGATTTATAATCTACTTTGCAATTGGATAATCAATTCAAATCTATATTTATGTATGTATATGTATATAATTTTATAGGGACCATTGGCAATTGATCATTCTTTGCCCGAAGTTGAACACAATTGTTTTTTTGTGCTCCACCCACAACGAACCTAGAAAGGAAATCAAGGAAACAATGAACACGTAAGTTATTTTTGCTTTTGTAATGTGTAAATTACTATTATACTATACAACATATAACTCTGTTCAAGCTTTTGATAATAGGGCTATGATGACATACCAAACCATGAAAGAGAAAAAGAAATCATACCCTGTGAAGGAGCCTAAATGGATAGTGCCCAAAGTAAGTAGTTCAATTTTTCCAGTGAGGTGGTCTTTGATTCTACAACTAATTAAATGTTCTTCTACTCTACAGAGTCGTAAGCAACCAATGCTTAGTGCTGAATGTGGATACTATATAATGTCACACATGGTCAATATCATCACTTTAGGTGCCACTGAGTTTTCTGTAGAGGTAACTATATTTTACTGAAATTGTTTTTATCATATACTTTGATATTAACAAGTTATGATTTGTTGGTTTTTAATACACAGATGTTCGACAATACAAATCCATTATCATCTGATGAATTAAAAGATGTTTGCACTCATTGGGCAAGAGGCTTTTTAGAAGTCGCGAACTTGTGAGTTCAAGCACTTGATATTAGGTTTAGGTTGAATTATTATTTTCGTAAAATTTTGTTAGATTACGTAGCTTCTCGAACTATTAAACTTTGGACGTTGCACAGGTCTAGGATGAATTAGTTGTGTTAGTTTGATCGGGCAACAACGAACTTAGTATAAACTTTAATCGGAAATAATAATATATCTGAGTGAAACTTTTTCTGGCTGGCTGCTTATTTTTGTTTTAATCAACGGGGAGGATGATGTAATAATCTGTGTTAAAAAAAAAAAACAAAAGAAAACCAGAGCACCACTTTCTACACTAGTTATGACTTGTGCTTTCCAGTTTCCACACCGTTCAACGGTTAAACCCATACTGATCTAGAAAGTACATTATCTACACCTTGTAAATTGGTTGGTTGCAAAACTTGGTATAGAAAGTGATTATTTTTTCACATCAAATCACTTTCGACACCAAGCAATTACTTGATGTAGAGGTAATAGAATCAGTGTTAAAAAAAAAAGAATTTAACCACCGTTAAATCCTCATTTTTTGACAGCAAATTAATTTAGATTTAGATAATTTGAATTCACTGAAAATTGCTTGATGCAGAAATTTTCATTCATATGATCTACATTACAATTCTCTCTCCTAACTTCTGTAATGGTTTCAATTTTTTTTTTTTTTTTAGCTGGGTAACCCAAGCTTCGTTTTACAATATTTAAATATTTTGGATCAAACAAAAGCATGGGTAATACCTTATTACTTTTGGATGAAATTTTCCGATCAAGTTGGTGTTGGTCAATCTTTGGTAAAGATTAACCCAACCGTGAGATTCGACTAGTTTTTCCAAATAAGATTTCAAGGCTCTTCCTATAATAGGACACATTTTGTACCCAAAAAATGGGACACAAATCATTATCATCGACATTAGTATGTGCTGTATAAATAAGAGTTAAATTCAAAGTTTATACAAGAAATAAAAAAAATTAGTGTGTGTTGTATTTAAATTTCAATTTAACATTTATTTATTGTTATTGTAACTTAAAAAAACATTACAGGAAATTATTTTCTTTCTCATCTGACGGGTAGGCTAGAATTAGATTGTGTTGTTGAATGTTCATGAGTTAAGCAACATTTTGGAAAGTGACTGGATTGTTGAAATCATACCCTTGAAGAGACAAGAAGCTTTGCCGGCTTTGGAATTGGACTTTCATGTATCAAACAGTGTCTCTTGTAATGGGCCTTCAATTTTGGCCCAATGTTCCAAGTGATGTTAGACTTAGACCCTTTTATGCCAATAATAGGAGACAAATAATTAGGTCATAACAGGAGGAGCTTGGGCCTAGCAAAAGAAATTAATCTTTCACAAAATGACAAGCCAAAATTCAAATCTCTGCTGAAAAAAAACACCCAGACTTATTGACATTGTTAATGGTAGGATTTGGATTCCTTGTACCGCCTATTTTTGTGTAGTTGTTAAGTGTAGTGTATTTAGATGAAAATACATTGGGAGAATTACATACGAGTGTCATTCAAGACAATTAACTATTTCCATTTGTGTTGTCATTCTCCTAAACTCAGTTGTCAATGAACTAGGAGTAATTAATTGTCTTGAATGAGATTTTAAAGTAATCCTCCCAAATAAATAAAGTATAAATAAAACAAAATATCTAAATAAATAAATAAACATGTTACTTTTTCAATTGCAAATGAGCATTGTACAAAATAGGCACCTCATGGGATCCAAATCCAAGTGTATGTTTGGATGGAGATACTAGATGCAATGGGAAAGGAATCAACTTATTGAAAGATCAAGTTTCAAGATCCAAGTGTCAAGCAAAATGGTTTCAACCTAGATTCTTTAGATTCAAAAGCAGAAGTATATATATGGTATATTTTTAGAGCGAGGGTGACAAAAACAAGATGAGGAGTGAAGATGAGATATAAATCATACACAGCCGATATTTTTCATGTATTTCTTTTTAACAAATCCATGAATGCAAAAAATCTAATTTAAAAAAGTTTATCAAGCAAAATAATTTTACTAAATCATCATATCAGCTATTATGTCAGCATTGAAACAGCAGAAAATGATCAAGTTACTCCTCATCTCGAGTTAGCATGAGAAACTAGGCTCCTAACTATAAGCACTTTAAACTTTCATGAAATTTTGTTAGGGGAAAAAAATCTATTTTTAGCATTTTTTTTCTTGATAACCTATTTCAAATAACTAATCAAAATAAGGTTTTTCCAGCACATCCCTCCTGTGTTTAGCTTAAATTCCCCCAACAACTCTCTCATACTTCCTACAACTTTTTCATGATTAAACAAATTGGCCCCAAAGGAACTTTGAAGCATGAAGATGAGAGTTTGTGAGTGAAGAACTAATCCTACTTATAATACAATAAATCAAATATGTGGCAGTGGATGTCTAAATAATCCATGTAACAGCAAAATATCCATGCTCATAACTCAAGTTTAATGCTGATTTTAGCCTCATAGTCAACTTGGATAAATTTATACTTAATTTTTAACTAGATCAAGTCATAAATATAACTTTGTTCTTAGCTTCTTTGTTGAGTAACTTTCGGATGTGTCCCTACATATGATCATGCCATGTGTAAATTTCAAAGGCAAAAAGTTGTATAAATCATATATAGTAAGAATCAGAATGAATGAATTCAAATATAAGTTATTAGAGATTCAAGTTCCACTTTTAACTTCAACATATGCTTAAACAACAACAACAACAACAACAACAAGCCTTTATCCCACTAGGTGGGGTCGGCTACATGGATTGCAAGACGCCATTGTGCTCTATCATTTATCAAGCTTTTAGAAATATTATTAATTAAGAGATCACGTTCAACAACTTCCAAGAGTGTTCTCTTAGGCCTTCCTCTACCTCTCTTAATCGGACTCAAAGTTATATGTTCCACTCTTCTCACTGGTGCCTCCCTTGGTCTTCTTTGTACATGTCCAAACCATCTCAACCGATTTTCTACCATTTTTTCCTCAATAGGTGCCACCCTCACTTTTTCACGTATGTGCTCATTTCGAATTTTATCTTTACGTGTATGTCCGCACATCCATCGTAGCATTCTCATCTCTGCTACTCCAACTTTATGCTCTTGCTGTCCCGTTAGAGCCCAGCATTCACTACTATATAACATTGCCGATCTGATAGCAGTACGATAAAACTTTCCTTTAAGTTTATTAGGCACCTTACGGTCACAAATAACTCCTCTAGCTTTTCTCCAATTAAAACACCCAGCTTGAATTCTATGTGAAATATCTCCACTGATTTCGCCATCATTTTGAATAATGGCTCCCAAATATCTAAACTTTTCCACTTGAGGTATAATTTGATCTCCCAATTTCACTTCCAAATTATTTTCGAATAGTCCTTTACCAAATTTACAATATAAATATTCCGTCTTACTTCTACTCAGACGAAAACCTTTCGACTCCAATGTCCTCCTCCATAACTCAAGTTTGCAATTAAACTCTTCTCTTGTCTCTGCTATAAGAACTATATCATCCGCGAAGAGCATACATTTCGGGATTTCCTCTTGAATATGTTCCGTCAAAACATTTAAAATCAAGTTGAACAAATAAGGACTCAGAGATGATCCCTGATGTAGTCCAATCTTTATAGGAAAATCCTTTGTTTGACCACTAGGCGTTCTTATACTAGTTTTTACCCCCTCATACATATCTTGTATGGCTTTAATATAAGCAATCCGTACTCCCTTTTTTTCCAACGCTTTCCAAAGCACTTCTCTTGGTATACGGTCATAAGCTTTTTCCAAATCAATAAAAACCATGTGTAGATCTTTATCTTTACAACGATACTTTTCTATTAATCCCCTTAGTAGATAAATCACCTCTGTAGTTGATCTACCTGGCATAAAACCAAATTGATTCTCAGAAATACTTGTCTCCAATCTCAACCTGTGCTCAATTACTTTCTCCCACAATTTCATTGTGTGGCTCATGAGTTTAATCCCTCTATAGTTAGTACAATTCTGAATATCTCCTTTATTTTTATAAATAGGAATTAATGTACTCCTCCTCCACTCATCAGGCATTTTCTTGGACCGTAAAATCACATTAAATAACTTAGTTAACCATCTCACCCCTTCTTCACCTAAACATTTCCACGCTTCGATAGATATACAATCAGGTCCGTTAGCTCTACCATTTGCCATTTTCTTAAGAGCTTCCTTTACCTCCTTATCACGTATTTTTCGATAGAATGACAAATTTTGTTCTCCTTCACCAGTTACTAAATCCTCCAAGTTACTAGATGAATCCTCTCCATCATTGAAAAGTGTAGAAAAATAAGTCTCCCATCTATTTTTAATTTCATCATCTGTAACTAAAATTCTTCCCTCTTCATCCTTAATACACCTTACCTGTTCTAGATCTCTTGATTTTCTTTCCCTACTCTTGGCAATCTTATAAATATTTTGCTCTCCTTCCTTCGTCTCAAGGTTCTAATAAAATTCTTCAAAAGCTTTGGAACGAGCTTCACCCACAGCTCTCTTAGTTTCCTTCTTAGCCATACGGTACCTCTCCCAATTTTCCTCATTGTTACACAATGTATGGCTTTAAAACAGTTCTTCTTATACTTGATTTTGTCCTGTACACTATTATTCCACCACCAAGACTCCTTATCTCTCGGACCAGAACCTTTCGATTCTCCCAAAACTACTTTTGCAACCTCCCGTATCTTTTTAGCCATATCCTCCCATATGATGTTAGCACTTCCCTGAGAATCCCAAATTCCTTTATCCAAAAGATTTCGCTTGAAAATATCTTGTTTCTCACCTTTTAATTGCCACCACCTAATCCTTGGTGTTACTACTTGTCGACGTTTTTGGATTTTACTCATAATACACACATCAAGGACTAGGACCCTATGTTGTGTCGTTACAGCATCTCCAGGGATCACCTTACAATTTTTACAAAGTTTTCTATCTGTGTTCCTAACCAAAAGAAAATCAATCTGCGACCTTGAGGCTCCACTTTTGTAAGTGATGAGATGCTCATCTCTCTTCTTGAAACAAGTGTTGGCAATCTTAAAATCATACGCCAATGAGAAATCAAGAAGAGTTTGCCCTTCATTGTTTAGCTCTCCAAAACCAAAACCACCATGCACCCTCGCATACTGACCAGCTTCCCTCCCGACATGCCCATTAAAGTCTCCTCCAATAAAAATCTT